AATGACAGCTACATAACTACATAAATACCCATGCTTCTGCCACGTGCTTTTTCCAAATGCGAGAGTAACTTAACTTTAGTGACACAATAAAATTTATAGAAATGTCAGCAAGAATAAAGTGATGTGTTTTCTGGGTGTACGAATGTAATTCTCCATCGGGACTATTTTGAATTTAGAAGTAAAATTTAACTGTCTGTATTTTGCACTAATTCTGTCTTTTGTGTGCCTTCAGAGCTCTAGATATGTAAATTTTACCTTTCAACCTAAAGATTTGAAGCACTATACATCCCGATTCTTGGTGTAAAAATATAAACAAATAAAAATTCGACACTGACTGTGAAGGAGAGTCAGTACATATATAGAGCATGTTAAAACTGTGTGGATTTTCTTATAGAATGCCTGGCAGCTGTGGAGATACACTTCAGAAAATATTTTTTCCAATGCTTTATTGAATGAACAATCAATCAAAGCTTGCTAGCAAAAGGAAACAGCCTTAGAAGTTTTTTTTATATTCTCAGTTGTATTAAACCAGTGTTATTAAAAAAATGGATTTATGCACTCTGGTTGCTGAACAAAATAATCTGTATTGAGATTCTTCAATGTGATAACAGAACTGGAAATCGTTATTAACAGTGGCAGATATTAAGTATAAGACACTTTGTCTTTCTCCTTGCTTGCAAGTTCCTGAAGGACGTAGGACTTTAGATGTTGTCACCCTCAGAGACAGAGTATTCTCTCTCAGAGTAGTTTCCCACCTAACCTGGAAAACGGAGAGAGAAAAAACCCAGGAAATAGACTTGTAAAGAACAAAGTTCTTTAGGGATTTTCAGGGACTGGTTTGGAATTTCTTGAAAAGAAACTGAGTTAATGACTGATCGTGAGGGAAGGAGTGAAAATAATGAGGTGTCGTTAAGTTTTCATAATTGCCAACACTACGGGTGATAACTGGAGGCAATTGCTTTGTCTTGAAAACACCCTTCAAAAGCCTTTTGCTGTCTTTGTACCATAGCAGGCAAACAAAAATATAGTGTGCTGATATATAAATCTGTTGATCTTGTCTAATTTAATACTTTGAGAAATCAAGTCTAAGTGTTGTAGGGGTTTGTTTTGTTTGTTTGTTTGGTTGAGGTTAAATAAGCAAGTAATTTCTTTTACTTTTTAATGAAAGAAGGTCTGTCTAGCATGTTTTAAGATAAAATAGCACTGAATTAAAAGATGGTTTTAAGCTCCATCTTTTGTAGCACATGGGGTGTTATAGTACATATGATTTATTTATTTTATTTTTTAGTGTTCATGTACCTATTGTTTAATAGTGAGACAAAAGATAGATATAGAGGAAAGGCAAAAATATCAGAAGGTAACTGAGATAAGTCTTATTTATACTGCAGCTTGGTGAGTGGCATGTGAAAAATACAAATTCCTCACTGACTTTTGGACTGTGTGGACATTATCATAGTAGTGAAGCATAAGAAGAGTACCTTTGGAGCTAAGTAGTTAATACTGAGGATATTTTTGGGATTTATGCTGGATTTTTGTTAATCTCTGCTTTTTTTTTTTTCTTCTAAGATAGTGGAAAGTTGTCCTTGTGCTTTTACTCAAACATTTAAAGTGTGCTAGATGTTGAAGGAAAATACAATTTGACAAGAGCTTAGAAGGGAAAGTACTCACTAAACACGAAACTTTTACTAAAAAGCTTTAAAGAATTTTCAGTTTGTAATTTAATTAGAGAGATTTTCTAACAAGAGTAGAATATATTGAATTGGAAGGGACCCATAAGCATCATCAAGACTAACTCCTTGCTCTTTGCAGCTCTGCATAACACTAAACCGTATCACTGAGTGTTGTCTGGATTCTCCCTGAACTCTGGCAGGTTTAGGGCTATGACCACTCCTTGGGGACCCTGTTACAGTGCCCCACCACCCTATCAGAAATTATAAAGCATAAAGTCTGGTTGTCTGTAGAACCTCTACTGTTTTTTGTCTTTACAGAATACATGCTGTATCTCCACAAGACAAAATTCGTAATGTAAAAAAAAAGCACTCAGTTCATAATGGCATCAGGTAGTCAATCAGTGGGGGTATTTTGGCAGAACTCCTGTGTCATTTGCTCTAAAAACTGGAAGAATGTGTACTGAATGAAGCAGGATAAGAAAAGAAATCCTGTTGTTATAGATTAAAGGGTTTATATGTGCTTTCAGGTATGGTGTTTCTGGCTGGCTCTGCCACTGCGGTTCTCCTTGTTGCTGGCACGGTTATTTCAGGCAGAGCTTTTGCAAATATCTGCTTATTTGTTTCTGATGTTCTGGGTTATGCTTCTGATCTTAAGAATTCTGTAAATACCAAGTGTTTAGAATATCAGATGAAGTAATTAGTAAGTCACAGCTAATGTGTTGGGCAGGGGGGAGGGAATCAGTCACCTCTTGATTGGGGCATTTCACACTTTGTATGTGTGAACAGCCCATAAATGAGAATGCTTAGGCAAGGTCTGTGAAATCAAAATATTTCTGTAGAAAATTCCATTAGGAATCTGGGAAAGCTGAAATGACACATAAATAGTGGAGAGTAAATATGTAACTTTTCAGAAGAAAAAATTCAAAATGTAACATCAATTTACACTTTAATTACGTTACAAAAGTCACAAAACTTTTAAGGGGCTGCTCAGGAGCTGGTTTTTATTTTGCTTTAGAGAGAGAAATATAATGATCAAAACTGTTGAAGTTATGGTCTGTAATATGTTTAAGGCATATTGAGCTGGAGATAATGGTTTTACAGAAGTATTTCTGTAGTCCATTAGGCTGTACTATTGCTCTTTCATAATTCCTATTACTACAATGCATTGTTTAGTTCATGCACACCATGTTTGTCAATAAACAAACATCCAGAGCATGTGGAAAGTTCATTTTCTAGAGGTTTTGGAAAAATCTAATTATATGAGATAATGTAGTGTTACGGTAATGCAAAAGCTAAAGTATAAAATACGTTTACTTGTAACCTGAGCACTGCCCAGACTGCTTTCTGTTAAATGTTTTCTGGTGGAAATTACTGGCATTAAAATCTCAGCAGTGTTTTCTGATGAAGGAAAACCCTTTGGGTGATGCTGTTCTTATGATTTTACTTAATGTCTTGAAAAATTTTATTTCATAACTTAGGATATACAGGATTTTTTGTTTTCATTTAATATTACCAGTGAAGTGGTCTGAGAAGTAAAAGAGAGATGTGCTTGTTTCAGATTTTGCTTGGCTTCTTTGAATAGGCTCTGCTGGTATTTTGGGATATTTGGAACTTAACAGGATATGATCTTTAATTTCCTTATGATTGGTCTTGCAGGACACAAAGTAAAATTTGAGAAATGAATTTTAGAAGATAAAAACAGCACGAGGTGTGTTCAGAACCTGGATCTTTGAAGCCCAGTGAGCTTTATATGTATTAATGTGGAAGTACAGCTTTTATGCTTAGATAACATGCAAAACCAGCTGCAAAAACTGAGGGGAGAGTTGTCTGCGCCACTTGATTTTTAGTCCTCAAAGCTCTATTAAAATGGTAAATACTTTTTAAATAGCAGCTTGGGATTTTCCAGAATGACTGGGCTGAAAACTCAGCAGCTTTGCAACAGTTTGACAGAAGTTCTGCAGTCATGGAAATGTTGTGTTTCCCAGAGGAGTGTTGAAGATTTTCAGTCTCAGTAGAGGCAGTCAGTCATGTGCCTCTTAGTTGCTTGAGAAGGGACGGAGCAGGCACGATACACTCTGAACATCTTTATTAAAAGTGAGTTCCAAGAGGAAGACCAAGAGTGTTCTGTAATTCACATATACTTTAACTTCGAGTAAGATCCTTTATATCTTAGTGCTGGCAGTATTAGAGGCACTCCTGAACACATGAAGAAAGGAAGTGATGGACACTTGCAGTTCCTTCCACTGATGCAAGGAGGTTTTCATGCAAATGTTTTATTCTGAGTATGTGTGAGAGACTGAAATTTAATTACAACTAAACCTCTGAAAGACTTACTTTACAAATATCCCACTTGCCAGCCATGAGAATATTCAGATCATTTGGTTCAGATTTGAGTTTCTCGGGTTCTGAAGGGTCATAGGTCTTTGTGACCTGTAAGAGAAGCCTATGAGGTTATTTGTGTAAGTTGTGTTATCTGCAAAATAATTTCTATTTACTGCTGCTGTGTCTGAGTTGTTCTTCCTCTGTTGTTTAGGCCTGACACTGAGGCAGTGTCCCTTCTCACTCAAGCTTGAAAGTTCTGGTCTACTGTCACCTCAATCCGTATTTAATGACCTTACAGAGCTGATCTAATATTAGGAGTAAGAGCCTGATTTTTCTTTAGCTAGTATCTGTAGATAAAGTAAACTTTTACAATTTAGATGGGTATAGGTAAATAATGATTAACAACCAATTATGGATATAAACATCTATATTTAGATGTTGGTAATTGAGTATAACTGAAACCCCATGCTGATGTTCATTTAAACACTGTGCCTAGAACCTTTGGTGTGCAACTCTTGGACATATATAACTAGGTATCAGGAAAAAAACTACCTCATGAGTAAGGCTAGAGAGTTTGGAGTAATTTAAGGTAAAAATAATTTATATGAATTGTAATTTTTGAAAGGAAAAAAACCAAACTCAGCAGTTAACCCCCCCCATCCCCTGAAATTCAGAGGCAATGCATAAGCAAAACCCAAATGTGTTAAGCCTTATCTTTAGTTCTAACTTATAAAGTATTTTTTATTGTGCATAGATGATTACAAACTAATTAACAAGCAGATAAGCTGTGATAATTGAGTTGAATTTCCAAGAACTGTTTCTGTTGTAACAGAAATTTTGTAGCATTGATACTACTCAAAGAAATAGCAGATAGAGATATTGAAATTCAGTTCTCTTGAACTGAAAGAGAAACAACGTTAAGTGAAATTTTGAGCCATGTTGAGTTCTGTTTCCTGAGCCAGAGAACCCTCATTGACTTGACCATTTCTCATTTTGTGAAACAATCACTGATTGATTCAAAAGAACCCCATAAAATGGTCGTTATTCTGTATATAGGGACTGTTCTGTATGCACACATCTGCAGATGGGGAGATCATCAGGGTGTAGCAGAAGAACTAAAGGGGGGCCTTCAGGTTGGCCCATTTCTACCGGTGAACCACAGAAGTCCTACAAGCCTTTCTGTGGTAAGTTTGCTGTAGTGAATGAATCATTTGTCAGTCACATTTGTATTTATGTTTGTGATCACAGAGCTAACAATTTGTGCATGTACCTGGGAACATTTTGTTTTTCTAATTTTTCAATTCAATTTTACTTTATCATTATATTTTAATTTCTCTGTTTACCTTTTGTTTTAAGGGGTTGTATAATGATATCAGCTACAAATCAATTTAGGGTTCTTTTTCCCTTTTCCTGTCTTGCAGATACTAAACATCTGCTAGGAAATGAATTGCGTAGAAGGTTCAGAAAAAGAAATGGATGATCCCAGCTGGAAAGACTAAATTGAGCCAGGTAATGATGCAGTTCCTTGGCTTGTAATTCTACCCATTTAATAGGAGGACTCTATAGTAGCTGCTTCTTAGAATACTGCATGATACGTATGAATGAAGTAATCACAATCATTTTACCTAATTCTCTGTAGAAAAAACATAAATTAAAGCACCATTGTACTGTTGTTTCTCTTAGATCATCGTGCCATGATGAGATCATCCAGTGTGCCGCCGTTTTGCTCGTAGAGAACGTGAACTGAAGGAGGATCAGAAACCGCCTGCAGAAAGAAGGATTGCACTGCACTTGTTTTTTTTTCTATAAAAATGTTTCCTCATGTTGTAAACTGTTCTAAAGAAAATGCTGTCATCCAAAAGTGCAATAAGATGAAGAGCTTCCAATAAAAGTATATAAAACGTAGTTATTTTTAAGTATGTTTTTATTACAAGTGCAAAGAAACTTTGGTGTTACATTTTTGATAGAAAGATACACTTCCAAAACTTAGAGATATGGGTTGGGGAAGACTTGAGCACTGAGAGAGACAAGTGCTGTAGGAGATCTAACTTATAATAATGTTTTACTGTTGGCATGTTTGCTACTAAATGATAATGTTATTTCCATTTCCTTTTTATTGCCTCCAAATATGGTAAGACCCTCATAGTATGTTTTTCCATTCTGTTTTGGTTAACAGGCTCGTGTATGATTTTAATCTGCAGTGGCTTTGCTGCAGAGTGATGTCATTAACTAGTATTGCACTTCTGCTGATGTAAATAAGAGTCAAACCATTGGTTCAGGGAGACCTACTGACCACAGAAGTTCAGCCTTGAAATTCCGTCTTCTGAATAATGGCACACAGCAATATCCAGAGAGAAAATGAATGATGCATGTAAAGGGAGCTTTTAGCATGCTGAGGTACCGACTGTGGACCTGTCACTGAGGAGATTTCTGTTAGGTAGGGGTTGATGCCAAGGATTTTTGACATTTGTGGGGTAAGTCCATCAATTGGCAGGATATGTGAAGAAGTGATTTTGAAAATGGAGGCTGTGTGGTAAGACATGGAGGCCTAGAAAATCTGCTGGACTCTACTGTGAGAGTCCACAGAGAGCTGTAAATAACTAGATAGCATTTAACCAAGAAGCGATGGAGTAAGTAAACTATGAAATAAATTGTTTCTGTAATATGTCAGCAGAGTTATGTAGTTGGCAAGGTTCCACGGGGTAATTTTTGTATTCTCTAGGTTTCAGTTCTTACTCTACACAGTTTTTGTTGTCTTTGTACAGTTAGCCTACATCTTATAGCTTTTAACCCTTAAACTATTTATAACTCTTTGTTTTGAATTAACTTATGCCAGAATGTCTTTATGTCCAAGCTTTGTTATCTGATGTCAGCAGAGCTTGGCTAATAGCTGTTATCAGCCTACTGCTATATTTCAATGAAGGAAAATCTGTGAATTCATAGAATTGCTAGGTCACTTACTAGATTTTTTTTTTTGGCATTTAGTGACAATATTGTATATTCTGTACTTACCGAGAGCTTCTAAATATATATTAAACAGCTAATTAAAAATATGGAACGTATGTGGATGCTGTTTACACCTAGACTGAAGATTTGGCATGTTCAGTGAGTTCTAATGTTCTAATAGGTGGGCTTAAGACAAAATGATGAAATACAATAATTGCATTCTCTCAAATATAGTGGTCTTTAAAGTGGAGACTTGGCAATGAGTAATGTAAAGGAACTATTGAGTGAAATTTTGTTCCATCTCTGTCATTTTCATTTGTTTAGCAATTTTTGCTGAGCTATTTCAGAGAGTTTTACAAATACGTTATTAACGTCAATGAGGTGTGTTATATTTTGAAACTACAACAAAAAGGCAGAAAAAGGGGGGTTCTCCTTCGTTGTCATGCATATCTACATTTTACTGTTTTCTATTTGAGTTTTAGGTCATAGAATATTACAAAAAGAATCAATTTGGTGTATGCTTATCTACAAATTTTATTATGTGAATTTTATCAACAGTGTAGACTGTGAAGTGTTAATGCATTCATTAAGTGCTAAACAGAGATCAGGAATTTTTCAGGTTTACTTTTATTGTCATGTTTAAGGATTCTTAGCAACATACTGTGTTTTCCCCAAGATAATTGCTCTTTTGAAGTGAAACTCTACAAATCAGGTCTCCATGGTAACACTGTGTATTCTTCTGCCAACCTGTGCTGTTGCAGATTTCCTTGTCAAACTGAAGGTAGTTTCATAATTGTACAAAACTGTTTTTTTTTCATGTAGTTAGACTGTAGAAATAAGATCTACAGTTTTATTGGTCATTTTGCTTATAGCACCATGTATTGTATATCCTTTCTCACTTATGCTGCAGGTATTTTACAGTTTTGGCTCATTTGTGGAGGTTAAAAAGTGTTCTGAAGTGGAATTTTAGCTAGAAGTTGTACTACATAATGTGCTTAATGTAAGATAAATTTTGAAGAAACAGCTGAGATGACTTTAACAAGATACTTTTAATATGTTCTACAAATTTGTGTTCACTAATGAGATGACTGACATTTACCTGTCATGGCAATCACAAACAAAATGACCTAATTGAATCAAAATGGCATAAAAATACTTTCTCCAGCTCAGAAATATTTTCATAAAAATGAGTTAGAAGTGTTCATCTAACTCATAGAAATAAAAACTTCAATCAGCTGTCATGTAAAGGTGTATATTGCAATTAATAACCATTCTGTGGCTAAGTAATTTTGGTGTTGGCCAATAATCCAAAAATGACTTGCTTACTTGCTCAGTTGACAATGAATCTCAGGTCTGTGGTAAGGGGAAAAGTGGTAGTGCTGTGCCAGAGGAGCACGACTGTCCAGTAGGCTCAAAGGAAGAGACTGAATAAGTTGTTCTGATTTCCGACATATAGTGGGAAGTTCACTCCTTTTGATGATTAAGAGAGCTCATTTTGTGGTATAACAACTGGGGTTGTGCTGTCTATGCTTAACGTTGCATGAAATGTGTACAGGTACGTAGAGGTCCATGTAAGTGTCTGTTTAATAATGCTTGGGATCAATATCTGCAAATCTTGCAAGGGAGAAGGTATGCACTGTGGGTGTGTATAAACTGTGGGGAAAATGACTTCAGATTACTAAATCATGTTGTAGCTGGATCTAGTCAATGTTAAGTGGCGACTTGGTATTTGGAAAGCATTTTTGTCTTGATTTATAGATGGATCTTACTGAACTGGACTGGAAGTCCAAAGGAAAAAAGTCTAAGCTGAGACTTTTCCAGGCTTTAACCCATCTGCTTTTTACATATTCTTCAGTTCATCTGAGGGACAGAGATCTCATGAATATACATATGCAGCCAACTGATGAACAGAAACAAATCTCTAAGGAACAGTACAGTTAATAGGATAGAGGCAGAAACTATGATCAGGACTTTACTGGAGTGTACACATAATTGTTACTTCTTTCCACTAGTTTGCATTTAAGAAAGATCATCAGGTAATTTTATCGTACTTTTCTGATTCCACAGGCAACATTTTGAAAAAGTTTCTCAACAAAATATGCCCTAATAATGTTTTCACTTAAAAGTCTTTGTACCTAGATGGTGGTGCTGTTCTTGCAGGCATTTTGACATCTTTGATTTGATCTTTCACATCAGAATCTCGCATTTTACTCTGACTGTATTGTACTTTGTAGCCAAATACTTTGCATATTAGGGAGTTGGATATTTAGGCATAAAGCATTGCAGTAGCAAGAGTAGTAAAAAATGTTAGCTTTCGCAAATTTTGCTCCAGGAAGACTTTTTTTTGTTTTAGAGGTGGTTGTAAGAAGAAGTATAGTTTAATGGACACGAGGGTTTAATTAAACCACAGAATTCTGGACTGGACATAAGCATTACATTGTTCTATGTTCCACATAAAAGAGAAAATGAGTTCTTTTGAGGAAATGTAGCCTGGGTAAGAGCAGAAGAGAGCATTAAACCTTTTTTCTTCATAAAGATCTAAAACAAAGTGTTACTCTGAGAAGCCTTTAGCTGATTCTGCCACTATTTTGAAACAAAGATTACATAAAGGGTTTAAAATAGCAGTAATTCCAAGTTTTTGAGTTTGAAAATATAGATGTAGAAATCAGGTAATATACAGTGTGTAATTTTTAATAATTTTTACTATTGAAGTACTTTTATTTGTGGAAACTGTACCTGCTGTATTCAGGCCTTCTGCAAATGTGGCCCCAAAAGTTACTAAACCAAACCAAACTCTATACTGACACTGAGGTAAGTTTAGTGTCTAGAAATGTGAACAATGGACAGCATGGATAGTTGTGGTTTGTCATTCTACAACTTCCCCTTGTAACACGGTGGGATTGTTTTAAAATCCTGTGGTAATATCTCCTGTACAGAATTAAGTATCCTACATCACCATGTAGTTTTTCTCCATTTGTCTACTTTAAAGTCTTATTCTGTGTGAACATCATCACATGGGTCTTTTTTTTTTTTTTTTTTTTTCAATCACAAGAGATAACTGCAGCAATTTCAGAGGAGATTCTTTTGGGTTTTTATGATATTTGTTCTTTCAGCCTTTATTTTAAGTCCTGATGCACAGTGGAGTAGTTTATGAACTGAACCTTAGCCCCCTGGGCTAGAGATATTCATGTCAGCGCACAGACACAGCAAAGCTCTCAGCTGTGTGAGGAAGTGGTGTCTTGCTCCTTCCCTAAGAAAAAGGAATAAAATAAATAGTTTATTTTCCTGTTCTTTAAGAAAAAAAAAAAAATCTGTGATGGCAAGTGGTGTGGTTTTGAAGGACCTATCAGACATTTCTCTCTCTGTCATAATTTTGAAACAGATAAGGGTCTGTAGCATCTTTTATGCAGTGAGAAAACGTATTCTTTTTTTCTGATCATATTTTCAGCTAAGAGGTGGGGTTTTTTTGTTCTGATAAAAAGGGAAGACTGTAAGAGGAAATATGAACAGATGGATTCAAGTTACCAAGCAACACTTTGTTTCCCAGGCAATGGAAAAAGAACTGGAGCAGGTGCTAAGTGGATTTTTCTCCCTCTTGGTGGTGATTTCTTTTTTCTTTTCTTTTTTTTTCTCTTTTTTTTTTAAAAAAAATTAATTTATTTATTTATTTTATTTTTAAAAATTATTGTGAGCTGATGTTTGAGCTTCAGTCTAACACACTCTTGACAAACTTTACAGAATGATAAATATTCAGCTGGCGGATGACAACTACCTGTGCAGGTGGTTTACTGTGATTTCAGTGGTTCTTTTCTGTAG